CGGGGATTTCGAAACCATGGCTTGTTCGAAGGAATGAAAGTGACTATAGGTGGCGCTTTGTACACTGGTAGGGGCCAAGGGGCCATTCTCTGGCGGGTCGCGTCGTCGCACGCGGCGTGCCATGGGACCATGCGCTGCAGATCGCAATGAGTGCACTCCAGTTCGCTGCAGACGGTTGGGCGTCAGACAGTATAAGTGCGTCACCCCGTCAAAGCCGTTCTCTGCCTTCTTGCTCAAGCGTGCACGCTTTGGTAATTGTTTATTTGTTTTCATTTTGTACAAAAAATCACATCGGATGAGACCGCCATTTTGAGGTACTATCATGAAAAAAATTAAATGTAGTGTTTATTAAATCTATAAACAAAGCTCAATGAGTAGTTGAATAATATAACTTACTTCTGATGAATTGGATCTGTGAAAAAATTCAACAACGACATTGCCACATACTTCACAATACACGAAAGACAAAATCCTCTACCGCTGACACAGTCAAATACCTATAAATTTTGCTGTGGAGTATACTCACTATCAAATTTAGCACAAGGACCTCTCATGGCACGGTTCGGCGACATGGAAGGTGGCATCATTTTGCACTTTTCCTACTTCCCACCGAAGCGTCGAACCATCTAGAGAGCTATTTCATGAAATTACAAGAGTTGACAGTTTTTGTCAAAGTGAGACATGTAAACAGGAACTAGTGAAGCAGCGAAAGTGCAAAATAGTCCCCCCCCCTCCTTCCGCCTAACTGCGCCTTATTTGAATTTTTGTCCATACAATGCAGATACAGATCGGAACAACATGCAAAGCAGTAACGAGAAATATCAGAAAATTAAGAAAAGAAAAACAAGCTAAGCATATGACATATGCCATTAATTTATGCTTACACTGGTGAAACAAAGCTTTTACAACCAACGAGTTCCAAGCAATTTTCCCTACAGAGATAATCAATACCCAAGTATTCGTACTTGAAGGTAAAATGAGTTACGGCACCATTATGTTACACCAATACTGTTCCGAGATTACCAATATGCACCCGTGTTTGCCCTTTTTTGAATAAAAATAAATGCAAAAGCTGAGTTCAATGCAATTCTATATTAACTTCAACTTGGCCGCTAGACGTTGCTTGGCTGTAGTCGGCTTCTTCTTCGGCGGAGCACGTGGATGGGACGAGCTTGCTGGAATGTTACCATCAAATTGGAGATATATTAGTGCACGTTTACTATTAGATCCCGCTATTTTCCTCAGCGCTACTGCAGCTGAGGGGCCACGCGCATATGCAATTAAATCCACTCCAAGGCGCCGGCGCGGCGGCGCCTCCTTCTGAAAGAGAAGCTCAGCGACTGCACGTTACGGGTAGTGGCGTTCAGTAACGTGCCTATAGTCGCTGGGTGAGAAGAAAAACGCAAAAAAAAACATGGAGAACACCGTAAGGGTCCCTTGACAGCTTCACTGGACATGTTGTGGGCAGATGCTCTTTTATGTCAGCAGAGCGGTGTCCTGCCCCATCTGGCTCACAGATCGTTCCTTGCGTAATCCGTTGTTGATACCTTACAGTGAGGAAAAACGGTGCAAAAATGAGTTCGTGCGAGAAGCAGCCCTTGAGTTCTGCTAGGCGGAGCAACAAGGCATCAGAACTGCGACTTATGAGCGTCAAGTGCCTTCGTTACTTATGGTAAAGCCGCGAGAGTGGGACAATCTTGGAGATTGAGAGCCAGACTATTTGCACACATAAGGACGCCTACGAAATGGTTGAGCGCACGAACCCTCTTTAACCACAGTAGCGCTTTTTACTGTCGACAGGAATAGACAAATGCATCTAAAATCAGCTGCTTCCTGCTCATTCTTCTCAAACGCATGAAAAAAGAAAAAGAAGACAAGGTGATGGTCAAGCACAAACTAGCAGACTCGGTCAGCCGGTATCCAGTAGCGCCTTTTGCTGCGTATCAAATGTGAGATAAAGCTTTTTCGCATGTACCTGATGGTGGTCCGATTCTATCTCTTCCCTTCTTCTTATTCATTTCACGAAGCATCTCCGCTTCCTCCTCTTCACATGCCCTTTCCATTTCTGCTTCATAAGATACCACTTCACGTAGAGGTAACTGATCGCCAATTTCTAAAAATAAAGTCTGTAGAGAAGACCGAATAAGTGCGCCCTGAAGAGCCCTAGACGAAAAGTAGATTACTTCCACGCTGACCACCCCTCTTGACGTCATCAAGCCAAAGATGAAGAGGACTGACCTTCTAACTGTTTCGATGTTTTCTCTAACTCATCTAATCCAACAGCCGCTGCAAGCCAAGCGGCTGGACGAGGTTTCCGTCCACTATGACTTCGACGAGCGAACATCTGAGCCATATTGACGTCCTCCAGCATTGGATCTGGTTTGTCCTCTATCGCTGACTCGTACTACAAAACGAGAAAATGAAGGCGATGAAAAAGAAGAAATCACGAGAAACATGCAAAACAAATCGTCGGAATGCCAACACACACTCTTTCCCTTTTTGGTTAGTTTGAGTCGGAAATCCATCACCACGTCAGGGTCCGTTACCTCAGAAGGCAATTCATCTCTGGAAACGTCAACTCAAAAATTACGACAGAAGCATAGAAATTGCTAAGATTACCCTGCTGACGGTGTTGCTACTTTCTCAGGTATCTCCTTCTCCTTGGGCGCAGATGTGCTCTCAATTGGCGATAGTCTACTTGAACAAGGTGCCAAACTTGATGAAGAAGGGCAGCCCCGGTTGGATGAAGCTGAAAGTCACATCTCAATCACAATTCGCACAACAGTATAGAGAGATGCAGCCCACTGATTAAGGAATAACTGGTATAAGGAGCGATATTTCCACTCTAGATGATACACCGATTTCCTTGACCATTAACTATCGCCTTCTTTCGCTTATGAATTTTCATATGGAATCGAAAATAATAATACGACACCTTTATTCTTTTAACGAAATTTGAAGCCGCGAAGGACAATGAATTCAATATAAAGCCTAGATATCACTGATGATATAAATAAAGCTAACAGAAAGCACGTATCCACAGACATGTTTGAACGCAGATCGAACCAGCTGAAGGAAATGAGAAAGAATGAGCAAGATGATACCAGTAATTGGAATTACTTTGGTCAGCTAACCTGTTACTAAAGGCGGAGTGTTGTTTTAGTTGGGATGGGGGTACGCAGCAGAGCAGTGAGTCTGCTAGCCTGCGCCCTGAGACGAGGCTGAGCCTTGAGACAGAGATATCACTTCTTCGTAACGTCCCCACCCCAACACAACAACGGTAGCGCAAGATGGCACATACATTAGCATGTTTCGATTATAAGCAATTTACAGTAGGAAGAAGAAAAAGAAAGAGTAGAAAAGAAATTGTAATGTTTTATGAGACATATAGCCAAATAAGAGTGAGTACATGCGGACAGTCTGACACAACTCAAAACGACTGATTGTGATCTGTTGGATACCCGTGGGCACTACAATGAAGAGGGTATGTGGCAGGACAATCGTAAAATGCCTCAGTAAAGGGCGTGGCGAACGGAGTCGCGCAGGCGAGACGAGTTGTCCTGCATGGCTATTTGAATTCGAATGTGAAAAAGACGAGAAAGCCGTTCACTCGGCATAAATTCATGCTCAGAGCTTGCTTGAACTCATTGTTGTTTGAGGTTGGCTGCTGCAAGCGACAAACTGGTCACATAGGCCGCGTTCAAACTTTGCGTCAGACTCCACCAGGATCAGCCAGCGTCTACCAGCATTTCTAGCGTACGTCAGCGCCTGCGACTAGGGATGTGTAGACAGAGTTAGCGAAGCAGCGTCCTCCAGCGTCAGGAAGGGAGGGTACGGGTATGGGAAAGTCGTAGGGGAGCAGACAGCTAGAGTAGGCGTTGCGAAATTGCGGCATGTGCAACCGCACCGTGCAACTGCTGCAGCACGGACCATGCAAGCAAAATGTACGATTTAGTGCAGTTATAAGGTGCAACTACACCTGCATATTCACGACGCTTAATGCATCTGTCTGCTACCATTCTACTTCCCCATACTCTCGACTCTTGAACGTCGCTTGCGTTCGCTAGATCAACACTTACACTTCCCTAGCCCTCGAGGCGCTGATGGGCGCCGGTTGATCCTGGCGGACGCTAGTGTTCGCTAGATCGATATCTACCCTTTTCTAGTCACTGCATACGCTGGTCGCTGGTGGACAGGAAAAGTTTGAAGCAGTCGTACAGAATTTGCTGCGCATCGCTGCACAATGCACCGCCTACGACGGCGCGGCAGATTACGACTGTATTGCCTGTCTCCTCAATGGAGACAGCTAACTACAACTGGTTACCTTGAGCAGGGCTCGGTGGCTCTAATTCTTCAGATTTGCGTTTTTTCGGCCTCTTCTTTGGAGATCTGCTACCAGGGGACAACGAACGGCGCAAACGCTGAATAGTAAGGATATAAGCTACGAAAGTGGAAGAAAAAAAGAGATTCCAGCAATAATCCGCTGTGTAAGCTCAATAATCCCACCTCTTGCTTGTTAAGTTCTCTCTGTAGTTTAGCTAAGACGTCATTGAACGACGAATGAGTAAACGTTGCTTTATCTTCCTGAATAGAACGTTTGAATGCACGGAAATCATAGGAACCAAGAAACCAACAGTAGGAACGAAATGTGTCTCCACAAACTTTATCTCTTCGCATCCATTCCCTCAGTCGAGGTAATAATGCTTGAGCTGCCTCTAGCATATACTTGTCCGCCCTATTACCTTCATCGTTGGCTTCTGTAAGAAATATTGTATTGGGTAAAAGATCTGAGAAATCTTAGTATTGACCAAACTCATATAACAATTAAGTGAGGGCATAAGAAACCGACAACTTTCAAGCAAAAAAGGCTATGGAAAGAGAGAAAAGAAAACGAGCGATATAGTGAAAAAAAATCAAGCCTTACTCATCTCGTGATTCTTTAAAGTCCTACATTCCTTATTTTACACTTATACGAATTTCGAATTATTTATGAATATATATTGAATAATGTACATCTCGAATAATGCACACGCCAGTACTATTGTTCCGCCTACCTCGAAGGTGCTCCAAAACAAAAGATCTCGCTGCGTACCAGTTCACTAATTCGAAGTGAGGGAACAAGTACTTTTCTTCCCATCCTACTTCTTTTTTCAGTCTTTGCTCCATCTCGTACACCCTAAATTACCACATTAACTAGTGGGAAGTTGTTCCAGGATAGTCCTTTGTAAATCGCAAATAAGAGGAATCGCTGCTCCGGGTAATCTCGGATTTGGAAAGTGCGCACAAAGCAAAGTATGCGTATAAGTTCATCCGCTGCGAACAAGACTGTACATCTGCAAAATCTGCTGATCAGCCAAGTTCTATTTAATTGCCTGCCGCCCATTTTCTGGAATGGCAAAACCACCAGATCGACAGAAACTCTTCCCAATCGCGCATTCCATTTCCACCATGTATGAAAGCGGTTCACCCTTCATTTGAATGTGGACTGCGTTCGAACGCAAGAAGTGAAAAAGTCAACGAAAGATATAGATTACAAAACCACTCACTTTAGCTGCATGGGAACATTCAGAGCATGAAGGAAATTCCCTCCAAAGACAAGTGAATCCACCGGTGTGTAAACTGCATGTATCCATCCTGACGGGATCATCAATGTTTGTCCAGCATCTATGAAAACCTGGAAAAAAGTTGGATGATTACTGAATGATTACTTGTGCGTCGAGGTTTTGCATCACGAAAATTGCGTCACTCGTGCTTTTTACGCGTTTCACCTCGCGAAATGAGTTGAATTGAATGTATATACCTCCAATGAGTAAACTGTAATAAAGGGGAGCAGAATTATCCATGGGCATTAGCAATGCCCGCCGCCCCGACTAAGAACAACTGAGTGGCCTCCGTCGGAGGACATCTAGCAAGTAAGGCGGTCCAACTGAGCAGGCGTTAGAACTAGAACTTACAGCGGCTGTAGCTCGCTTCTCGCTCGCTGTGCAGACGAATAGAGTGGGACAGTCTCTAGCTTGGGGGCTGTACTACTTGCACAAGGAAGGACGACCATGTACTACTCGAGCGCGGAGTCTTTAAGGCGCAAAAGCGAACTGATGCTAATAGGAACACTGGGGAAAAAACTTGCATGATGAGACTTGTAAAGGCTTGCTCCGCCCTCATTTGATGCTCAGACCTTCTTTGGTCATGTTAGCCCTGGCCAAAGAATAGTCGTACTTCTTGCTTAAAAACACGTTAGAAAACACAATTCGCTCGCAAGTAGGCCAACCCCCTCCCCTCCACAGGCCACTCAGCTCTCATTCCCAAAGGTATCTTTCCGATGCGGTCGTTTCGTAATATCCCCTTTCCATTCCGGGTGGTGAGAATCAGATGGCAAGGAGAAAGAGCTGGCACCAACAAATGAGAACTTGTCCGATCTTGCTCTTTCTTCTCCTGAGGTTTTCGAAGCCTGTTTCTAGCTCTCTCATCGCCTTGCGTAGTCCTGTACTAACGCGGTTCAGCATGGAGTGCTATACGAGACATTTTAGGGAAATTTATGCGCTTTTTTATCCATCTTGTATTAATCGACATCTTGCCACTAGTATCTAGGCCGCACAACCATCATTTTCAAATGTGAGGCGTGCCTCAAAGGCGCTCCCTCGAGCCTCTGATATACTCTTTTGCTTGAGTACCGTGAGAAATACCATAGTTCCAGGAGGAAACGGTTACGGGGCAGATGTCAACCAGACGATCTCTCGCTGCGAGGGTCCAGGGCTAATTTCACGGGGCATCTACCAGTCCAGCAGTTGAAGGGGAAGGTAAAGGAGGAGGGATCAGAGAAGGAAGGAAGAAAAAGAAGGAAGGAGGGAGAAAAAAGGAAGGAGGGGAGAAGCTTTCCGGTTGACATGTGCCCTGAGACGGGAGGAAACGGCCTAAGATGTTTGAGAACATTTTGCTTCAAACGCCGCCAATTTTGTCTCGCCTTCTTTTGCATGTTTTTTATGCGTTCTTGTCTACTTGGATGACACTGGTTGAATGGGAGAGAAAAAAGTATACATAATTGCGACTGTAACTAGAATCTTTCGCGCATTTCTCTAAGATTCTGTAAGTAAATGTGCTTTTCACCTGTATTATAAAGCAGAAACGAAGGTAAACAGGCCTTTTACAAAAACAGCAAGATCTGAGAATTAATAACAAACATGACATGTCAATTATAAAAGACCTACCCGTCGCAATGCTCCTTTAGGCAAGAGATCACCAAAGAAAACTTCAGTTTTATTGTCAGAACGCTGATATTCTTCAAATAGGTTCAGATATTCTTCTGTTGGCTCCACTATATAGAATACTTTCTGGCCCTGAAGAGAACATAACTCTTCGCGATGAGAAAATATCAACAACGCAGGCAGAAGAAAAAATTAAGAGACCTCGTAAATGTGGTACCACACGCTTGATCCTCCAAAATCAATGTGGAAATCAGTGTAAGAGCCGCCCATTCCACAAAGACAGAATAGTGCCACTTCCGGCTTATTCCGTCGATGCTCTTCAAGAACCTCCACGATTTGTCGGACTACAAAAACAAAGTTAATACAGAGAAAGTGTATTACAGATGTTCTGCGGGTACGACAAGAGTGCTGTGAAAATGAGGAAAGCTAGGAGTGTAGTGGATATGCATCAAAACAATAGCAAAATAAAAAAATAACAAAAAAGGGTTATGAGAGCTAAGAGCTAAACAACACAACGCCAACCACAAACACCCCAAAAGGACCAAGGTAAGTGCTAGTGCTTCGATTAGTCATACAATGTATTAATGGGAGCAGTGAGTGTACCAAACGCCTAACAGATTTTTTTAGGCACTACTGAATTAGTATTACTCTAGGAACTCAAGACTTAAGGCTTCTCTGCTGAAACATTTCCGATAGGGAATTGGTGTCCCAGTCACGAATATGACATTCCTTTTGGCTCTGGCACCACTTGACACCATTACCCACCTCCACTGTTTCCTCCAAAATCGGTGTAAACTTGCTGAGACTGTTGGTGTCCCGATCGCGCATATCATTACTTTTTGAAGCTGGTGGCATTCAGGAACCACATTCCCCACCAAGGACTATGGATACTTGTACACAGGGGTTTGACATACTTATTCGTTTGCGACATTCATTCTTGATAGGGACTTAATGTAGAGCGTTCGGATCATCTGCGATCTGTAAGCGAGAACGGCGAATAGGGAATCACTCCCCCCGATTAAGCCTTTGCAGAGCCCTAAATGGCTCCGGTTCGCAAATAAATACCATACTTGTGATCAGGACATCAAACAGAACTATTCAGCGCGTTTACACCGATTTCGATGAGAAAGGTGTTAGTGCCCGATTGCACAGACTGGCGGCAAAGTCAAAACCAGCGAAATATTCCTTAACAGAACACCAAACAACCCATAGGCAAAGTTTCAACAAAAATTTTCAGAGTCATTGTGGTAGTAATAATTCAGTAATGCAGAATTTTTTTATTCCACAAGGTTCTATAAGTAAATACTGTAATTTATGTCAAATTTTAGCCACTTCTGCTAAACGAACTTGTTAGATGGGAACCTTCAGTGGCCAGACGTTTCGACCTCCCCGAAAAAGTGAATGAAATTCGAAAGACTTTCCCTATATATCCAGTCACCGAAAGAGAAGGGAACAATTTTCCCCAGCTCCTCAAGTTTACCGCTGAAACTTTTAGAGCGAGCAGACTAACAACGAAAGCTGGACCCGATTCACATGTCACGCTTCTACAGGCTGTACGATTCCTAGGAGGGGGCATTTGATACGATCACCACAGCTGTGCATAAAAAGGTGGTCTGGTAAAGGTAGAACAGGTGTGTCATTCTGCCGTCAAGTACACATTTGAGCACCTTGAACTACGACATGCATAATCACTTCTACAGTTGAGAAACTTCGGTTGAGTTTTGAAAAAAAAAGTGTAAGACTGTCGGTAACTTCAGCTAGCGTTCCAAAACGGTAAGTAAATGTAGGATTTCTAGTTTTCTCAATTGTACAAGATCAAAGAACGATAGGAATGCGATCACTCACCCTTCATCGACGATGGTAAGTAATCAACTGAAATCTCAAACATAAACTAAAAAGGCGGAAAACTATGCAAGTCTCACAAGCCAAAGAGAAAAGAGAAAAAAATCAAGAAGAACAGTTCCAATCTGAGGAAATCGGTAGTTTCTAAGCACGATTCCAAGCAATTAATAACCAAAACCCACGTTCGGGATCCCAATTTACAAGATCATTTTTATCTGGCCATAATTTGTGCACAAAGCTCAATTCAGGTACCAGTATCGGTGGAGAAACCATCTTACGCATGCTGAAACAAAAGTGCTTCGAGTAATGAGTTGTAAGGATGCAACTGAAGCTACGAAACCAGGCCTACGTTTATAGTTTGCGTAAGAGCGCGTTCAGACTTCGCGATCGCGCTACTGAGGGTGAAATTACTGCGGGAGGGGGTTATGTGCGTATATGTTTATTGATCCTGCTCTCTCTCTTTTCCTTCTTTCTTCCTTTGTGTACATAACGCCCTCCTAATTTTAAAGAACGTTTCGAAATATCTTTGAGTTATTTATTATTTCCTATGTAAAATAGTACTAAATATACAATATGCTAATTATTATACTGAATTTTGCATCTGAGTACGTTCAAGCGGAGTATTGAACATCTTGTTCCAAAAGTAAGACACGCAGAACTTTCAACAGCGGGTGATGTTGTTTCTCTCCCTTCCCCCGATTTTGCCAGTCCTCCAGATATTCACTTTACTTTTGTCACATTGTTTGCTTTGTTTGTTCTGCCATCCTCCAGGTCTATACACAACCTTTCCTTTCGACGGTTTCTGCAAACGTCAGTATTGCGAATATGAACACGGAATAAAAGACATCAAAAAAGGTCGAACTTACTTTTATATCGTTTTTGGAACTGCCTATTGGAGGCAGGATACAGCATCGTGATGTGAGAAATGGTGATATTAGTACGCTCCCTTCCCAGAATTTGTTGTTGTTGTTTGTTGAGTTGAGTTGAACATGAACGAACATGACCCCCTCCCGCAGTAATTTCACCCTCAGTAGCGCGATCGCGAAGTCTGAACGCGCTCTAAGCGTTTCAAGCGTACAGCAGCCTTTTAAGCGACTGAAAAAGTATGGTATCGATCCAGCGTTTTGAACGTACGTCAGCGCGTTGCGAAAAAGCTCAACACGCCCAGAACGCTAGATCGATACCTAAACTTTCCAAGTGGCTCAGAACGCTGCCATGCACTTGAAACACTGTCGCAAGGTATCCTTGACACGGAAAAATCCAAACGGTCTCTCAGCAGACAAAATAGCTTACGTTTCATTCTGGCTAAACTCCAAGCTAAGAATATTATAAAGTCGTGGACGTTCCTGGCTAATCATCTTGTCATAGAATGCTCCTATCGACATGCTGTGGGTGACTTGACGATACACATCAATGGTATCCACTTTGAAGGATCTTCCTAAACACAATTATTAAACGGTAATGTGTTTCACGAATGCATTCAAGACAGCTTAAAGGTTATAGGGTAAAAACAGAACAAGAACTGAGAAGTTATCCGGCTCTAAATGCCCTTTTCTGCTCTTTCGAAGTCTAGGTCATAGTTCACAGGTCAGGTCAGGGTTGATCGCAATTATTCTTCTAAACTATATTGGCTAAAACTTCGATGGTAGTTCGATCGTCTGAGCATGGAAATCACATCCGTTCCGAGGATAGTTCAATCGTATGGGCATGTAAATCACATCTGTTCGAAGAAGTTACTAGCGCATGCGCCATAGATATTTTTGGCGCACTTAGCCGAAGTTTCCATGCGAAGATATTCGCAATCTGAGAGCGAAATACAGCTACGGACTAAATTTTCGGCATGTTTTGATGCGGGCGCGCGTGGCGGCCGGCGCCAAAGGTTGTAGTCCAAGAGGATGCTACATTCGTGCCTGGCGGGTCAATATACCCATGATCAAATGTTTACTAAACTTACACAGTCCAAGTTCGGAGAAAGGGTTCATTCGGAGGAAAGTTTCAACCAAAATCTTGCCTGAATTTCGAACAGTAATGCAGTGTGAACAGCTCCAGTTACTCCAGAATTAGTTGAACTTGATGTTCGTTTCGTAGGTTCCCCCCCCCCTTGCCCAACTTATACTGTCTGTCTTTTGGATTCTCTTGGCCGGTCTCTCCACGTTTTCCATTTGGCGACTGACCAAGCTGCCTCTTGTCGAGTCCCGCCATTTACTAAGCTCGAGTGCGGTGACGAATTACTCCGCCGGGATGGAGGGAACCTTGCCCCCCCCCCCCCCCCCCCCCTTGCCCAACTTATACTGTCTGTCTTTTGGATTCTCTTGGCCGGTCTCTCCACGTTTTCCATTTGGCGACTGACCAAGCTGCCTCTTGTCGAGTCCCGCCACTAAGCTCGAGTGCGGTGACGAATTACTCCGCCGGGTTGGAGGGAACCTTGCCCCCCCCCCTTCCTCTTGCCTTAATGACGTCTCACGACACGTCATTGATGTGTTGTGCGACGTCCATAGCACGTCAACTAACAAGGGAAGTTCTGGACTGTGTAGCCGTGCCAAAGTTGTCCAGCAAGAAACAAAGAAAGAAAAAACAATAATAGTTAATAAGATAGAAAAGTGGACAAGTCGTACCGAATATGTCTACAATTGTTCGAAGACCAAAATTTTCTTCCTTTTCAGGCACTCTCAACTCCAATCCACGAGCTTGTTCTATGAGATAAATCTGCAACAGGGACATGCTGACACAAGAGATTAGACAGGACTTTCAAAAAGATAAACCTTCTTCCAATCCTCCTTGCGATTAAAATGGTCCATAAACTCAAAACCATTGTGGCATATAACAGCGTGGTTTTCGTTGCTGAAATCAAATAAACGATCACTACCTGTTCCACGATATTTCAAGTATTTGCAGTTACTGGAAATCCTGAAAAGATTCTCTACTTACGCTGGTGGTATGCTCGCTTCCGTCTCAACAAACTTTTTAATCCAAACTTCAGTACCAACTTCAGGAGGAAGCTCCGTCTGAGTCGCATCGTCGAAGGCGAAACGATGACGCAAAAGAATGTTCTTCACTGGAATATAAGCGGCCCAATCTTATAGAAATCACGAGCAATGCATTTCTCTTTCACTATTTGTGACATAGCAAAAGTAAAAGTCATGCTTTAGGGCGAAGTTACGTGATGCTAAGAAAGGCACTTTGCATTGATTGTGCCCGGTAATTGCAGCCTTCCATCCCTCACGGGGAAGCAATGACCTCCTACTTTTTTTCTGGAAAAACAAAACCAAGAGCCAAGAGACAAAACCATGAGCCGAATACGGAAAAGTAATCACAATTAAAGACAGCCCCCGCGCTCAAGTAATTCGTGATCGTCCTCCATTATGCAAAAAGTCCAGCCGCCCACCTAAGAGACTGTCCCACTTTTCACCACTCCACAGCTAGCGAGGCGGGTGCAACAGCCACCGAAAGTTCTAGCTCTAGCACCCGCTCAGTTGCGCCCACTTGGTAGATGTCCTCTAGATCTGTCACAGGGCTGCTCAGTTGTTCTTATTTGAGGTGGAAGGCATTAATCGGAATTACATGTCCATTTTTTGACGGCCCCCAATTAATTCTGCTCTCCTTCATTACATTTTATCGTTAGGAGCGCTTACAGTCAACTGCAACCCATCTCGCAAGGTAAAACGCGTCAAAATCACCAGTGATGCATTTTTGGTGCAAAAGCTCGACTGCACTAAAAGATGCACGCTACCGTAACCCTAAATTCGTACGCAGAGTTTTTGAAAGTTTCTTTTTGTTACGAGTTTTCCGTCGGTGTTTTTGTTGTTTTTCGTATTCTTTTCTTTGCACTGGATGATATTTACTACTGGGAGATGCAAAAAGCGATTTGTGAGCCTAGGGGATTGCATAGACCCCAGGGCGGTGTGACTGTCAGGAGGCGATTTTGTTTATTCTTCTTACTGTTTTCTATTTGGGGAATTACTTACTAGGTGCTGATTCATAATTCAGCAGTAACTATCCATGACACTTGATCGCCGGAACTATCTTTAATGGTGTTCGGTAATCCCATGTTTCCTACAAGACCTGTTTCCTATTTCCTGAACAGTGCAGTGGACCTCGAATTTGCTGAAATCGAAAGGTCGAAGCTTGCTCAAACAGCACGGTGTCCGAAAAAATAGCGAAGTGCTACGTAATCAAGCAGAAGGAGCCTTGTTGTGTTGAAGTGAACCCATCCAAACGACCATGAGGTAATATTGAAGCTGTAGTGATTTTCTAATGAAAAGTCTACTTTTCCATTAACAAAAAGTTTGAATATTTCGTAATGTAATGAGCGCAACAACTGTGGTAATGAAAATTGGGCGCTCACTCGAGTGTTTCCGTAGCTTAACAGGATACAGACTGACCTAAAAGGGATGTGTTAAAAAAAGGAATTTCCAGAATGCAAAATGACCCTCTCCAAGCTGAACAGCGCCGAAAGCTGTATTAGTAAGAATCTTTCAAAGGGAATCAGTTGGGGAACAACCCCTTTAACATCGTCTACGACGGTCTCCGTCACCTTGTTCTTTAGCATTGGCCCCATTCGGAACCTCTTATATTTCTTATTCTTTCCGGAAATCTTACATGGTGACGGCACATCTGGCGATGGATGAGGTGACTATATTTTTAACTTGAGACCTATTCTCAAGCGTGGTGCAACAAGTCCAACCTGCTGAGCCGTCTCATATCACGGGATCTTATATCGATGAAAATCCAGCCATTCCTTTCAGAAACAGCTACTACGTAAATAAAAAAACCTCACACATAATGAAAAATAAATAAAACCAGTCGAAACAAGAAATTGAATCTCCAAAAGAGCATATGAAAATAAAAAAAGAACGGAAGGCTCACTTTTCGTTGGTCCACTCGTTTGCGCACATGGAGCACAGTGAAATTTATCGATCAGAACATCCTCGTACTCTTCTACCCCCACACAACTGTAACAATCCCAAATATTATGATTTAATCTGAGCCCACAATAAAGTTTGGCGAAAACCCTATTACTCACCTTCCATGGAACCACTTTTCACAGCAATCGCATTGGATCCAGAAAGTGTCAAGCGGATCGATTTTTATGTTTTGGCCGTGTTCAGAAATTTGTTCGACAAGTGGTTCACCAGTCTCACTTTTTCTGAAGTTCTTTCTGAAGTGTTTTGATAGGCCATAAATGATCCTTCAGTAATGCAAAGCACCAAGGCGACTAAATTAGAGGAAAAAAAAAACACATACTCAGGTACCCAAATGGCCTTTGCTGGGCCACATATGCCGCATTCATTGAAACTACCGGCGGAATGATTGTTTTGAGCGACCTGAAGCAAAAAAAAGTCTGTCTAACGGACTAGAGGAACAGGGCCATTCATTTACAAAAATGATGCTAGGCGGTAACTACGATAGCAAAAAAAGGAACAAATTGCGAAAAAAAAATTAGTGTGGCGGACTAACAGTTGACGAACAATTAAATAAAAACTAATGGCTGATGCGAAGCATGCGCTCATACTTTGCGATGGGACATTGGGAAAATAGAAGAATGAAGGGAAAAGAAAGTAAAGACATCAATCTGGTAGCTGCGGAAATGGAAGAATAGAGTAATCGGAGGATCGCAGTCCATTGGTGCCTATCCACTCTTTTGATCCTATTCTCCCGTTGCGATGCATGGACACGGTATAACGCATTGCGAAGAGCCACGTTTCAGGTCTGCTCTACGAGCAGAGCACTGAGTAAATTGAAGATCTAAAGATGAGTCTTTGTAGAGAGGGTGGTATCTGCCTTCGAGAAAAAAATATTTTCAGTTGTTCACTTTTCGCAGTTTTTCCTGTTTCAAGTGCTCTATACCCGTATTTAGGAGGGAAATGTAGAATTTTCGAATAAAAACCCGGTGGAATTCTAGGAAGTTGAAAAAATTAAGGAAGATGGTAAGGGAAGTCGACTTCTGCAACATTTTTCCCAACAACAGATCGTGCCCTACCATATTAAGTCGCACTGACTCTCGTCGCCTGCGTTCTGAAGCAGAGTTTCGAAGGCATGGGGCTTGATAATTCGGGACACGTTCTGAAATGGCAGCAGGGGTGCTATATAGTGGGAGGACGACGAGAAAGCGAAGAGGGTCAAGGCCAAAAACCTGCAAAGCTTTCGTTCTTCACAAATCAGAAGGCAATTGGACGAGTTTCCTGCTGGATCGTGCCAATAACGCTACAGTAGATAGGTTTGTAGTTATATACTCAATATCCATGCCACATAGCAGCCGCTTCAAACCCCTTCACTGTGCGCTGTACTTCGCAAATGAAGCGATACGATCAGCATCGGTTGGACATGTAGGCAGGAGGGAGCAATGGGCGTCCAGCTGGGTATGTTGCAGCTTGATAGGGCGCTATAAGAGTACCTTCGTTGGAGAAGAAGCCGCGCATTGCCTGCCAAAGGGCGCAAAATTCTGTTATGTTGGACGTATTAATCCTACACGATTTGAGGTACAGTGCATTTTGCCTTTAAAGAAAGGAAAAGGCAAGGGGTGGACCGCCTCCTACCCCCGATATATCCTATTGTTAGTACTCAGGCAGCTACATCAGATGGCTCAAAATAATCTTCAAACCGACCATAGTGTCAACAGACAACAACTGAGAACCATCAGCATCTCCTTCTTGTGACGGCTCTGCTACGTTAGATTTTGCTTCATCCTAAATATTAACACTAGAAAAAACACTGGATTGGGTATAGACTCAAGACATTACCTTGACATCTTCATACTTTTGCTCTGTTAAAAGTCTGCCCTCAGAAGAACACGGTTCAGTTATTAGTTCAGACAGCAGACTTCGACAACTTGGTTGCGTTTCGGAAATATCTCCAGCTCCCGTAGACGTCCTCTCGATAGACTGAGTGTTAAGAGGAATATCAGAGGACGATAGCCTACTGGCAGATGATGAGGTGTCAGTGGTAGGATTTTGATAAGAAATAATTAGAGGATCAGAGGGTGTAGGTTTATAGGGAATATTTGCCGACAAATGCTTAACAAAGCTTGGAATGTTTTAACGTGAAGACAACAAGGAATTTGAACATACCGTAGAATGTGCCCCATGGGTTTGCAGTGGTGGTTCCGGAACAGACGTAGTACTGCTAGAACCACCTTGAGTTGAGCAGGCGCTCTCGGTGACTGTGGAGCGATTAGAGCCACCAGGAACAAACTCTAGGAATCCATACAGCTGATCATCCGTCATTTGAGGACCTTTCGCTTGTTGGCCCCATTCCATAACTCTAAACATAACATATGTCTTGATACACCGTCCCTACGAGGTTGACAGAGAGGAGCAATCCAGGAATCGTCGGATAATAGGACTTGAAGACACTCTGAAACACAGTCCACGATTGCAGTTACCAGGTGGCAGAGGTGGCAGGGTAAAATATGAACTTGAAATGTCGAAAAAACTTACAAGGGCTGAAAAAAAAGCGGATGCAAAGCGAAAACATAGCAAATAAAGTTCTGGTCTTCCATTTAGTTCTCAACACTTGACTAAAAGGAAGTTTTGACGAGGCTTGCGGATGTGAGAACAGAGACGAAGTATGACAAAAGAAGAAGAAGGCGAGAGGGGCCATAAACACGGTCAAACCGAGCGCCGTTCACAACTGGGTGGAGTCGCTGTTGAAGGGCGGCTTCAGCGCCTCATCACCCATTCCCGAGCTGTCAAAAGGGTACAACCTTTACATTTGTTTACCGGGCTACTACAAGGGGGATCCATACAGCTATTTCCAGCTGTGTCCAAAAGAGACCATATTCTTCACTACAGATCAATTTTGCTAAGGTTATTTGCGTAAATCAAAAATACACATGGCGCGATTTCCTCGCGCAGCCTTTTTTGCCAGCTGCGCTCCCTCGCCAACTACTTCGATTGGTATGGTGGCTACAACTCACAATAGTCAGCGCTACGCTCCAATATAATCCCATCCCTTCTTGGTAGTCTTGCAGATACCCTTGAACATCAGCGTTACCTTTCAGCTCGTTTAATTAGGCACATATAATTTCTAGATAAAACAGCTGGTGTTTTCCACCTTCTAGGCAACTTTTGGCAATCGAGTTCTTAGCAGGGCAGTACACGAAGTCATCTAGAAAATCATTCTATAGCAACTATGATTCTGGGCACAGGTCCAATAGACCGGGCCATCCGTAAAGTACTGTGAAGACCCAGAGGCAATTGTCTACTTTTCAGGAGGAAGGGAAAATTAGTTGCACACAAGAATTGCGTTACTAAACACGAATTCTGTTCCATTATAGGTTCGGGTCAAACTCCTCATTCCCTGACTCAGAATCGTTTCTTGGCACCTCCTAGGACTAACGTTCCAATATATTGAAAAAGTGGAAGGAATGGGGCTAAAGTGAAGCTTGTAAGATATCGTAGTTTTGCAGAGTTTCACAGGTCTGCACAGATATGGCCCAGTATTCACAAGACCTTACAAGCCTGCTTGGTAAATTGGAGAGTTTGCCTGTCATCTGTCTCGCATTTAAAAACCTATTCGAGTAATAGTTCAGAATGTTGCTGCTCACCGCGACTTTTAGTTCTAAACAAAATCCACATATCTGGAACACCAAAAACTATGTTTTACCAAAAACCAGAGATTATCACGGAAATAAGGACCTTAAAGAGAGCAAGGCTCAAACTAACGCCAGCAATAAGCAGTAACACTAAAAAAAGTGTTAAATATGTCCTCATTGGGGTTCTCTTCAACATAATCGAATTCTTTGGGAGAGATCGGCAGCATCAAACATAGCACAACGAGGAGTAAGTACAAGAAAACCTTGAAAATGCGAACGTGCGTTTTAATGGGAACGCTGCCAGGACCGCTCGCCGCTTCTTGGCCAACGCCCGCCTCCGACGCCCTTTACATTGGAGCGCTGTAAGGCAGTTACTCAAAGAATCCAAGACAGGTAACCGATAAGTATTGCTTAGAAGAAAGCGTTAGCCTAATTCAAGAAGACCACTTCTCAGCACCTCCGCATCTCCTAGAGAGGCTTAATAAAAACTATAGCTTCTCAGCAGGACCATTTATCGGCAATACTGATCGTCTGCTCTCTAAGCCTCAATCTTGTTGAGAAAGAGATACAGGCGCGGTCAAGTGCCCCCCCCCAACCCGTAAAAAGGCGCAATATATGGCGATTGAGTCAATTCTCTAGATCGATAAGTTCCAGGGTTCGCGGATTCTTCGACTCTGCAGTTGGGCGAAGTATAAACGATTAACCTATAAAGAGATCTCACATTTGAGGCGAAAGGACAAAAGATCATTTCAAATGTCACACAAGGACATCAAAAACATACTGAAAAACACTCAAAAGTAGTTAGACAGTCAATCTTTTCTATGGTGCATGGCACCTTCGTCAAGCAGACTAGGCCAGCCCCCACTAGCAAACTTCGGTATGACTACCACTGGGTTGCATTCATATTTCGCGAACGGAAAACTGGTGAATGGGAGAACCAGCGAACCGATGTTTCTGGGGAATGCGCGATAAAGCGTGGGTAGGTATAGTTCGACGCCACTGAAGAGCAAATCAGGGGGAGCGGGGGATAAAGAATCGTAGCCGATCAAGCGGATTCTCATCTACTTCTTCGGACTATTAGGCAGCGTTCAGACTTCGCAACGGCAGCGCTCGGTCGCGCGCTCGAAGCGATCGATGCGCGTCGAACGCGCGACGGTCGCGAAGTCTAGGCTCGCGCCTTCTCCGATTCGCCAGATCGATGCTTACGCTTACTTTTGGGGCGCAATCTCCCACTCTCCTGTTCTCCACGGTCGTAAAGTATGAACGCAGACCATGGTCGCAGAGTATGAACGCAGCCCTAATGAGCTTGAAAAAGGATTTATCTTTGGATGAAAACTTGCAACTTGTACAGTAGGCCAGTCCAGTCAATTCACACAACATAATAACTGGCTTTTATACTACTATAACCGTAAACTATAGTCGAATATGTTTGTCGGCTTATAACAAAACTTATAGCACGCGCCGCGCAACACTGGTCTCAGGTGATAAGCGGATGGGATGGAGACACCGATTGTAGGCGATAGGAGGTGATAACCGCTGGTAACGGCCTATGAAAAAGCAGATCCCTAGATCTTCGTTGTGGCCTTAGAACTTCTACATCAGCAAGGATTTTCATGCTACTATCCTACTATATACATAATACGCTACGTATGTCTGTGTGTGCCGTCCATCTGTTTGTCACGAAATTCATAGCTCCCATTAACTGGTTCCGAAAGTGATGTAGGGTTGTAAGGGAATACTTTTTGTGGGCGATAGGAAGGGATATCTGCTGATAAGGCAGCGTTCAGACTTGTAGCGCTACGATCGTCGCGCTACGATCGTCGCGCTACAGTTGTAGCGCACAATCGTCGCGCTACGATCGTCGCGCTACAATCGTCGCGCTACAGTTGTAGCGCTACAATCGTCGCGCTACGATCGTCTCGCTAGAGCTGTATCTAGCTTATT